GAGCTGGATGCTCAACTGACTGAGCCACTCAGATTCCCCTCTCCATGTGACCTTTCTGGAATACAGAAGTACAGACCTTACCCCTCTTCACCGCAGGGTTGTTGCATATCCCACACTAGACCGATTATTGGCCCTCTATGGGGAATTTGATCCCTACGGGGGAACACTCAGGAATGAAAGGTGGTATGATCACTAAAAAAAATTTATTTTGTATTAATGCCATTGAATTCCCTAAGATACCCTAGTTCTTATCTTTTTGGAGAGCTGATGGTTCAGGTCTTCTTTTGAGCCTGTGAGCTATTCAGTGAGAGCCGAAGCCAACACAATTCCTTGTCCCTGCATGAGGCAAAACTGAGATCCAGCAAATATTACTTAGCTTCTTGCTCCAGGATATACGTGTTCCTGGAAGATAAGACTGTGAACCAATTAAAATTAGGACTATTAGCTTACTCATCAAAACTCATTTCAAGGCCCTTGCCTCACTGTGCTCATTTAACCTAAAATTAGTATAAATTCTGCCCAGATAGTTCCCTGACTTGCTGACTCACTTTACAATCATTATATCCAGATGTTAAGACCGTGTACATGTTGGCCTTATTTAGTGTAGTAGATCTAATGAACCTGGATCAGCAGGTGTTTCTGGTGGTCTTTCAGGGAGCCAAAAGTCAGGATTAGTAAACAACTAATAAATTCTTTAGTTTATGGATAAATCAGATAGAATTAAATTATGTTGTCTGAAAGTAAATATTGCTAATTATGTCCCATAAAATTAGACTGTCAATTTCTGGAAGGCAAAAAAAAATTGTTATATTGAGGGATAATGTTAAGCCATCTAAAGTATTAAAGAAATACTGCCTGAGTGGCTCTGTTGGTAAGCGTCCAACTTCAGCTCCCATCATGATCTCATGGTCTGTGAGTTCAAGCCCTGCATCAGGCTCTGTGCTGACAGCTCAGAGCCTGGAGTCTGCTTCAGATTCTGTCTCCCTCTCTCTCTGCCCCTCCCTTATTCATGCTTTGTCTCTCTGTGTCTCAAAAATGAATAAACATTTAAAATGTAGGGGTGCCTAGGTGACTCAGTCGGTTGAGCATCTGACTTCAGCCCAGGTCATGCTCTCATGGTCCATGGGTTCGAACCTCGCATTGGGCTCTGTGCTGACAGCTAGCTCAGAGCCTGGAGCTTGTCTTCGGATTCTGTGACTCCCTCTCTCTCTGACCGTCTCATGCTCACGCTGTATCTCTCTCTCTCAAAAATAAATAAAACATTAAAGAAATTTAAGACATAAAAAGACAAACTTACTACTTTGTGCCATCCCCAGTCTCTCAGTTATAGCATATTGCCTTAATAAAAGTAGATCCCCAATATCTATTATTTGACTATGGCTGTATCTATTGTGCTAATTACATAAGGTCCATAACTTTTAGATTAAATACTACAGTAGACACTACTGGGCTGTCACCCATTACCTCATGGATTCTCTTTTCATTTCAGCGGAAGGCAGCCCTTGATATCTACATCGCAGCGTTACCATCATTATCTCATGGCTGCCCTAGGGAATTTGTTGCAGAGACAGCCCTTAACTAATAACTGACGAGCATAGAAGCTTAATTCACCAGGGTTGTTTCGGGTTTCTCAGGGAGATAAATTTTAGTCATCCAATGTGGTAACTGGATTAAATAACACACCCTTCATGGATTGTTTTCCCTCTACCACCTCTCCACTCTCCAGTTGTACCTGGAGAATTATACACAAACATGACATTCTTCAAACATGCACAAATATGACTCAACAACTTTTTGTTTGAACGTAATGGAAAATTGATTTTGTCTAGAGTATCTAAATAAGAAGGATTTATTGATGGGTTCCTGGAGCTTATTCCCTGGATGAGCAGGAGATGAAGCACACCTCGGATTGCACATACTCCTTCCTTCAGGGTCTGCCTCTGGAGAGACCTCAACTCCTACATGGAATTCTTCAAAAAGAATGATATTTTTAGCCTTTCCCAGCAAAATAGTTCCTAGAATTGTACCAGAGATCATTTCTGGTCAAGAGTCAGCTAGATCCGCATACTCCCTGACAAGAATGATGTCTGGTTTGTCTCTATCTGTTGTCTAGCACAGTGCCTATCACAGAGTGGGTAATGAATAAATGTCTGCTGAATGAATCTCCATGGTCTAAGTAGGTGGTCCACTGGGCCTGATAATTCCAGATATATGGCAATTACAGCAGACTAGAATTGAACCGTGCTGAGGTATGAAAGGAATTTATTTGTTTTAACCAGTTCATACCTCAAAACCAGGACTGATTCATAGGCAACATGCACTGGGATGGTTGGACCAATTGTCCATGGTTATCCAACCCAACATCTGCTTTGCCTGTTGCGATTGGTATGAGCCCATGCTCTCCCACTTATTAAATAGATTCTTATTATCCATGTCCATAACCATTTTTATCAACTACTTTATTTCAGATATGCTTATATCTTGCCCTTGATATTTAGAGAGAATGCTCTCATATTCTTAGATGTTCTTTGTTTTATATCTCTTCTCACCATTTCCTTAGCACATCAGAGAGAGAAGGTGTCTTGGCCAAAGTCATTGCCCATTTCTAAAGCAATGCACCTGATCATGCATCCATGCATATATTTGTTTTCCTCCTTAGGAATTATATTTCTTATCACTGATTGCATTGGTCTAGTGCCAGTCTCCTCTGTGCCATATTAAACAGCATAAATATTAGTTTTGGTTGATACCATAGAACATTACTTATGATAACCTGGACAGTTTTAAGTCACTGTTAAAACCAATCATCAGAAAATAATGTTGTAGTATCTAATTAGGTAAGGCACTGTAAAAGTGGCAAAGGGGATATATAATAATTCAACAGTGATGTTTGCTAAATATATATAAGATTCCAATCCAAGTCTGGTACACAGTATTTATATAGCCCCAGGCAATTAATTTAACCCTTGTGTCTCACTCACTTATATGTAAAATGATGCTAATAATTATTGTGCAGTTTTGATGTGAAATTTTGAACACATAGATGCTCCTTAATACATACTAGACACTCAAAAATGCCAACTGTGAGAACCATCAGTCTAATTGCAGAGTTGAGATGTAAAACACATGTAACCGTCTAGAATATCACATGATAGATATCAGAAAGCATTTTTCACCTGTACAGAATCTATAGTAATTGTGAATTGAGGGGAAACAGCCATTCTGAGCTGGAAAAATCTAGGGAAGCCTTTTGGACTAAGTGAAATTAGAATTGAGTCTTGGAGAAGGGGTAGACTTTGCAAAAACATGCTCCCTGTCTTAAGAGGAGACAGTGTAAGGTGTGTGAGGGTCCCTGGGCCAAGTGCCCTAACCACACTGAGGCGTCCAGGCTCAGGGGCTGTGGACAGGGGCAAAATGAGCCTATGAGTCCTCTCTTTGATCATGAAGAGATCAGATTAAGAACGTTAAAATTTGGCTATAATCACAGTGTAATGACTATAAAAAAACAAGACTGCAATAGCTAAATTTTTCGAGGAAGCAGGCAGAGTAGGGGCAGAGGCTGGGAACTTTGCTGACAAGGTCATGGCTTATTGAAAGATTAGATGAATACACTCAGTATGTACTTTTTGAGAATCAATATTTCTCTTTTTCTTTTCATTCTCCCTAGGATAAGCATATCCAGAGTGGTCAAAATGAATGATGAAACTAAGTTGCTTTCTTGTTTTTAATTTTATTTTAAAACAAGTTAGGAAATCACACCTATTTCACAAAGGAAGAATCGTTTTCTAACTCTTTGCCTGGGTCATGCAGGACTTTAATGTTTTTCCTGCCTTGATTGTATTTATTAGTAAGAACAGTATTATAAGTTATAACTTCATGGAATAGAAAAAGTATTTCATAATTTATATTTTTAATTTGACTTAAAATGGACCAGATTTTTATGAAAATATATTTATATAGAGTCTATCCAAAAGAAACCTTTAGAAATGAGACTAATGTAAAAGGACAAATATGCTCTAGACTTATTCTTAAAATCATCATGTACTATGTAGAAATGAAGGTGTTAACTTCGGTCTTCATGTCCATTTTTATGTTACCCATGTGTCAACCGAATTATAGGTGTGAGAGCCATTATCTCTCAGGAGCACCTTGAAAAAGAGATGTCTAATCTCAATAATGTGACTTTTCACATTAAATAAATCCACCATGTTCAGTAGTTCTTCGTTCTTAAAGGAAAAAGGTCTTATCCTTCCTCCCATTCACTTCTTCTAATCTTAAAAAGAAAAAAAAATCAAAGAAATTCGATTTTTTACTAACCAGAATTGATTTTGTTTCTTTCTACTTGGTATTCTTTATCACATGGTACATGTGGGGGTGTGGGGGTGTGCGCGCGTGTGCGTCTGTGTGCGTGTATCTGTGTGCGTGTGTGTGCACGCGTGCATGCGTGTGTATATAATGGATGAGTTAAACTCAGGAGATTCCATTTGCTCAACAAATGTTTACCATAGAAACTATATTCCATAATTTTGTCTTTTCTCTGTATTTCTTATACTAAAGTATATGCTTATGAAAAAAGCAATTAGCCTAATAAGCCTAGTTTAATGAGCACACCTCTGAGGTAAATCTTAGACAATGCTGAAGAAAATATTCAACTAGAATTTTGCAAGGCTCAGGAGGCTTTCACTTCCGCTTTGCAGATAAGATGCATTCGAGGAGCATCCTGCAGGGTCTTTAGTTTCCTTTAAAAAAAAATCTGCTCTATATACTTTCAACTAGTTCTACACTAATAATACTGTGTGGCTTGGCATTTGCAGGAAAGTTTCTGACCAAAATCTATTCAATTTTGGCATCAATGCTGTGTCTTCTCCCTTATGATTGCATGAGATACAGTTCATGGATTATAGAGAATGATCACTTGAGCAATAAAAGGTAAAGAGAAAAATACTTTTTCTGTAAATTTAACTTTAGATGACTTCTCTCTCTCTCTTTACCCAAAACAGGATATCCATCCCACCCGACTTTCATGTTATCGCAACGTCTTCAATGAAACAGGAATAAATATTGATAGAAAAACAACACAGGAACAAAGGTAAAATTACATATTAGCACTAGTGTCCCCAACCGGTATCTTGGTTTACTGAGTGACAATAAGTTTTTATTTTTATTTCACTTATTTATATTTTGATGATTATGGAGAGACAGGCAGCCCACAAACATATAGATATGGCTGTAATGCAAAAAGATAAACATACTGGCTATAAAGTATTTCTAGACACAAGTCTTAAATGAATGGCATGTACCCTACTTCATATTTTAATTCAGACATGAAATTATTTAGCTTGAGAAATCCAGAGACAAGGTTCCCTCCAGTCAGAATTTTAGAGCTAGAAAGGACTCTCAAGATTACTTAGTCCAGCACTCTGTATCAAAAAAAAAGGACTACAGAGGTAACTGGCAGTTGGTTTTAATTCAGGGTAGAGACAAGGCTAGAGTCCATATCTTCAGTAAACTATAAAATGCTCTTTATTTCTCTTTAATCACTATCAAAATAATATCCTCTTATAACACTTTATTGTAAACACAGATTACAAAATCTTAAATATTCAACACTGCAGGCTTTGACCAATTGGCATGATCACCCTTGTCTGTGTGCCACTCTGGTATTCACTGGCTGAATGTCAGCTCTGCTTGGTAACTATTAATGAAGATTTCTTCATGTTTCCTGACACACTGTTCTCGTATTAATACGGCTAAGAATTGTGCCCCTCTTAGTTACAGTGCCACGTTATTATGCCAGGTTTCAAGTGGGGTGAGGTCTGACCTCAAATGGCTTTCTGGCTTAGACAAGTCAGTCTAGCCCTCTCGGGATATTTTCTTTTTTCTTACCTAATGGACGTGAGCGGCACCTGGCACTATATTATTACTTCATCCTCTTTAAGCCCACAGGCTATTTCAGCTTATAAAGGTCATGTCTTATTTTAGCTACTTTCAACTAATTCATAGCCATCAGAAAATGATTTAGAGAGCAGATTCACTGAAGACTATCTATACCATGACCAAAGCTCCATTTGATTCAGTCAAATTGGTAAAAATAGTGGTTTCCTTTTTTTTTTTTTAATTAAACAACGGGTTAATTTATTGTGTTACCTTTCAATAATAGTGCTGGATTGTTAGTGAAAACATTAATATTTTATAAGGTTTTAACCTAGGTGGAATGCCACCAGAATTTTGACTGCTTGATCAAAAATATCCACTAGTAAAACTCCTCCTTGGGAATGACCCCTAGCAGTTTTACAGTCACCTGCTGATAATTTGATTTAAATCACATTTCCCCAATCTGTTGGTGAGTACCATATGCCATTTAGGATGGGATGAAGGGCTGTATTTTGGTGAGACATATTGTGTCTATTTCCTTCTCCAACCTAACAAGTTTGTCAATGTAATAGAAAAAGATTATTTTTATAGCTTTTTAGAACTTGGTGTTTGAAAGCTTTTCTTAATTGGGTTCAATAATTTTTAACAGAAGCCACATGGTCGACAGAAAACTGTCGTGACTAACTTGAGCATGATAGAAAGTAAGGTTCTTTTAATAATTAATAGCTGCTAAAAGGTCCCATGCATTATGGAGAGAGGAGGGAGAAGACTAGATTTAATCAGAAGATTCAGGAAGGAGGGTTGATGAGAGAGATTAATCAAACCAGAGCATGGTCATATAAGGGACAGGATCAGATGATTCACTCACAAAAATGAGTAAGAGCAAAGGAAGCAGAGGGTGAGGGGAGAGGGTGACATGATGGAGAAGGTCGCAGATGTGATGGTAGTCAAATGTCAAACCTCATTAAAGAAGTTGTCCACAACATCTCTAATGAGCTGGAAACAATGTGTGACAAACGTGGTTAGAGACTCTTTTGCACAAATTCAAACTCAGGCCAGGTTGCTCAATGGGTCTTCGGAGAAATGACAAACTCTGGAGTGAATCCTAGCCAAGGAGAGCTGTGTTAGCAGACTTTCCCTAACCACATAACTTTGGCAATTGAGACACAGATAAAGATACCTTACCTCCTTCAGGTAATACTGAATTGGCTTCACCTATATGTTGCCACTTATAACTGCTACAGAAGGTATCAGGGTTAGAGAAACTAAAATGAGAACAACAACGAACAAGGCAACACAGTTTTTCTAAAATGTCAGGATCTAGCAAGGCCAGGGGCCAGATATCAGTGAGCAGGAGAAGGATTTGATGGAAATCTGTATTCCTCTGCCAAAGGAGTTAACTACACTGAGCCACCTAAGCCATCTGTATATGCAGAATGACCTTGGCAGAAGTGGAACACATTATTTGTTTCCATGGAAGGTTATTTTTTTTCTTTCTGTTTTTTCCCCCCTAAGTCAGGCTACATGGTCTAGTGCAGAAGTGTCCTCACTTATCCTGCCAAGAACTCCTGGGCATCGGAGGAAATGTGTATTTCTTTCAAATTTTTGATCTAAGTTTGTCCTCCATGTATGCTTTAAAATTAATGGATTAAAAAATTCATCAGACCTCACCTCATTTTTTTTCTTTTCTTCCTCCAATTATAAGTTGAAGGAATGATCTTCTGCAGACATCTATTGATTATGTCACTCTCTTTAAATAACTTTAAAAGAACTCCTAGTTTTGATTTGCATCAAAATAAAATGTTCTGACTCTCTTCCTTCGTCCATTCTGTACCTTATTGTTCTTTTGATTCTTTCCTCCTTTCTTCAGCCAGACATAAACTCTTTGCCGTCTAGCTTCCCTTAAGATTTGCTATTATTCTCACTTAAGGCATCACCTGTACTCGTTTCCATGAAACCAGGTCACTTACTTCGGTCCAAACTTTAATTTTTACAACATTATTGCAACTGTCTTCTGTTGTATGTATATACCTATTTCTATACTGTTAAAATTTTATATACATTTATATTGTTCTTTTCTCCACCAATAGTTTGCATGTTCCTAAAGGACAGGAGCCCTGTACCTTTCTTTTTGTCATTATCTTAGTGTAGGGTTTATCAATGTCATTTGATGACATTTATCAATGTCAACTTTAAATGTTTCTCTTGAAATAATAACAAGAGTGATCTCTATGAGCACATTGTAGATGAATCCAGTGGGCCAGCTCATGCTTTGGAAGGCTGAGAGTAAGACTCATAACAAACCCATCACTCTCTGTTGCACCCAGTGGTTACCTGACTGTGTTTATGTGCATAATGGTAGGTTCTCACTCACTTTCTCACCAGTAGCCAATGTGCCTGCTATTCTGTATATACCTAGAGTGATACCAGAAGTTTTACTTTTAGTTGATTAATTTATGTTGTCTAAATTCTTTAGCATGTTGCTATCCTCCCAGTATCTCTTAACTACTTATTGTGACGATGAAGCCACTGAAAACATTTTCTTGAGCAAAGATTTCCAGAGGAAAAAAACCAAAAACGTAAAATCACATGGTAAATGATGCCATTTTCTTCTACCTAAGCCTGTCTTGAGTCCCAGCCAGGATCATGTTACTTGTTACAACAGATCTGCTGGCAAACAAACTCTGAGGGGAGCACGCTGACGCTTTGTAGACCTTTAAATGTGAAGAATTTAGGCCCAAACATGTGTTTGTGGGCATGCGTAATGTCCACTTCTTTTTAGGATGTCTCAGACTGACCCCAAACAATCTTTTTATGGAATCCTACCCTCAAGGACTAGTATTAGTTATATAATTGCCCTACTATCATGCTGTTTCTCAGGGTGTAAGCCTGACTCTGAGACCATTGTACTAACTTAAAATATTTGTTTACAGCAAGTAGATACAGTTAGGATATATTGACTAAACTCCTATTCTAGGAGGCCAGAAATTTTCCATTGTACCAAAAATGTCAAATTTAGCCCCTCAATATCTCTCTCAACAATCATTTTCCTATCAAGTCTCAATAGCAAAACCAAAACAAAACCAAAACAAGCAATAATTCAGAGAAATAATTGAGATGGCCTAATGAGAATACTGCATTGAAGTTTTATTACAATTCTATCTGGGGGATATATATATATATATATATATATATATATATAGAGAGAGAGAGAGAGAGAGAGAGAGAGATAGTGCTGTTGGGATCTCTGTGGCATGCGAATTAGAGAGCACTTAGAGCTTTGTGAGGTGTGCCTGGGGAGGAAAATTTGGATTAAATAATAAGGAAAGATGACACATTGATCCAAGCTATTATTTGTATTTTTAATTTGCACATTATGTAAAACTGCCTCCCTCAGATTTTGGCGGAGCTTGTTAACAATGCCCCACAGGCTTGCTGGGTTAACTCCTCTGCGGGTTGTATTTAGAGAATTCACCTTCTTAACAGGTTGTTGTAAGTGAGGCTCTGGTCCAGGGAACTTTGAGGACCACTATATATGCTAAAATAGTAAATAGAAATATTCATTGAGTGCTGTGTGCTGTACTGGATGCTAAAATATAAGAGTAAATAAGTCAGATCCACTTTGAGAACTCCCAAAGGCAAAGTATAACGCCAAAGAATGTTTTGTACCCCGATAGAACTCATTCAAACTGTACCACTTAAGAACTGAGTTTTAAGTAGGTTAGTTTTAGCTACTTTAAGTGGAAATGGATTTTCTTATCAATTACATTAATCTGAATAATTTATTTAAAAGATTCTAACTATTACAATCAGGAAGTTTTGAAGAGTTGTCTGCCTAAGCCAGTCTAAGATGTTTTGGCAAAACTGGTGGGAGAAGTTGTGTCTTTGGGGCCCTGTATTCTCCTTTCTCTGTCTCTGGCATTCGCCTGATGTTCCTTCAAGGCTCCCCTGACCTCCTGGCCCTTCCTTTGCTCTCCTGTCAAATTTGCTCAAGTGATATGGATATAATGAGAGTGCTAAGAGGGTAGTCAAGAAAAATGGGTCTGCACTGTGCCTCTGATACTAAATAAATTATACGGCTTTGAGCAAGTTCCTTGAACTCTCTTGGAGTTTCTTTATCTGAAAAAAAAACAGAAGGGTAGAAGTTCTGATATGTTTTCCAGTCCTCTTTCTATGGTTCATTGAGTTGTCTGTGCATTGCACTATAAGATGGGGGTGGAGGTCTTCATTTGGCACAAGGAGACGCTGCAGGAAGAGGAGTCACGGATGTATTCCTTATGAATTTTGGAGCAGGGATCTGAGCAGTGTCCTAGTGAGGAGCAGCTAGTGAGGAGTCAGATCACGGGGTTTGAGTAAGCTTAATTCTACCTGTGACTTGGTGTGTGAGATATGAACATATCTGCTGGCTTCTCTGTGATTTATTTTCCTCACTTTGGAGTGGAGACAGCGATGATAACCTTTCTCCCGGTGTCACTGTTGACATTACCGAGGGGATGAGCAGATATGTTTAAGGAACATGGTGGGCATCCCATAAATGTTTCCTTATTCACTGCGAAGGTGCAGTTTACTCAGTGCCTCGCTTTACCTTCCCAAAGTTGGTTTATTTAACAAGCACACAGAGAACTCATAATGTCCTAGAAACTAATCTAAGAGCTTGACTTTCATAGTAACTCTATTAAAACTCATAACAAGACTACAAGGAGCTATTATAATCCCATTAGACACATAAGGAATCTAAGACTCATAATCTGCCCATGGTCTCCCTCCGAGCAAGCAAGTCTGGGTCCACAGCCTGTGCTTTCAATCATTGTTCTCCCAGCTTAGACAGAAGGTCAGAGAACAAGGAATGGAATGGAATGTGGGCAAGCCAACTATGTTTTTTGTCAATGGCTGCATAAATTTGGTGTATCAGAAAGATATCATAGTAATTTAGAAAATATCTAAAATTATAAACATTAACCTACCAACAATCCAACCGTCAGGTGTTGCTTTTGAAGAGATATTACTCCCTTACCAGGAATATTTACAAAGCATTTTAAATATGTATAGCAACCCCTCGCAGAAAAACCAAAGGGTGAGGACATTCAGAATCTTGAAATAAGAGTTGCAACATCTCTTTAACACCCTCTTTCCCACATGTCTTTCATGTCACTTCTCTGAGTTCTTTGGAACTCACAAAGAAGGCCTCCCCTGCTGTTCTAGTAGCTCCTAAAAATCTTCCCCAGCTCAACAGAAACATGCCACCTGCAGCCTCAGGTGCCTTACCTTGTCTCTGTTTATTATTTAGATTATTATGCATTATCTTATTTTCTTACATCCTTTTAAGAGATTTATGGGATACTTTAAGAGGGTACAAATGTAACATGTTGCAGGGATATATCTTGTTATAGAAGTAATCACTAAGGCCTGTTGCTTACCTGGTTTCCCTTACTCTTGTGTGTAGAATCTTGATTGAGATAGTCAGGTTTCCTTTAAACTGGATATTTTACTGGGGTTCCTGGGTGGCCGTTAAGTGTCCAACTCCTGATTTCGGCTCAGGTCATGCTCTCACAGTTTGTGAGTTTGCGCCTTATGTCAGACTTTGTGCTGACAGTGTGGAGGCCTGCTTGGGATATTGTCTCTCTTCTCTCTCTTCCCGACTCACTCTCAAAAATAAATAAGAATTGAAACTGGAGATTTTAGGAAACAAAGTGACTCATTAAGAATAACTATGAATAACGAACTACTGTATCTACAACTTAAGATATAATAAAACCCACCACAATTATTCACAATAAACTGAATGATCATTATTTTTAATATTAATTTCCAGTCTTGTCTGGGGAACAAATGGCCCTATTTAGCCAATTAGAACTGAGAGAAGAATTCTGCTCAGGGTTAGTTTCAATTGTTAATTTTTTTTTTCTACTGCTCAAATTCTGCCAAACTTCTTGGGTAACATGAGATTCTGCCCTGAGATGTTACTTCCTTATTTCAGGTTCCTTTTGCTACAAGCAGGGCAATGCTTAACCTCTGCTTATGTAATTGTGCAGAGGGAACTTTCAGTACAAACTTTCTATCATTCATATTTCTAATGGGGTTCACTCCCAGCAACATGCTCTGCCAAATGCCTGCTATTAATTACTTATTGCCCGGGGTACAATTTCCCTTGATTGAAACATGGCCCCGAAGCTTTCTGTCTCCATCTGAGTTCTCCATCTTCTTGCTCAGCTGACTTCATGTTTTTCATTCTTCAAACTTTGAGTACCACTTATGCTAGACACCTCTGGGCACTGAGATTACCAACACATATAAAAGAACAGCCACTGTGTTCTAGTAGCTCACCTTTCACAGCGGACAGCTGTATAAATGGATATCGAGGATATTATTTGATGCGTGCCATGATAGAGCTACCCAGGTACCATGGCAACCTAAAAGGCAACCATGGCAACTGCATGCTAGCAAGGTGGGGACAGGGAGGGCATCACAAAAAATGGGACCTGTAAGCCAAGTTTTGAGAAGGGAGTTGAAATTAGGTAATGAGTGATATTAGAGAGGCCAGAGCACTCCAGAAGTAGAAATAGGATGTGCAAAAACATGAAAAAGTCAGAGGGTTGGTACATTTATGAAATTAAAAGGTATTTTCTATGATTGGGAATAAAGTGTGCAGGACAGATGGTAATACTGGGATGGCAGAGGCTATTGGGGCTAGGTCATGAGGGGTCTTGGACTTTACACTAACGTCTGTGGCTTTGTGTGAAGATATTAACCTTGACTGTATTTCACACCTGTTTCAGAATTTGAAGGAAACAGAGCAACTTCTCCTAAGAAAAATGGACATTCACACAGAAAACCTCAAATTCATACAAACTTCAGAAAGCTTTTAAGTTTCCAGATTAAACTCCAGTACTTTAGATGAAGAAGAAGCATGGGCTTAAGTTGGAGAGAGGTATGTCCATATCTCTCAGCAGAGAAAGGAGTTTGCTGGTGCGGTAGAGCGTGATGTACACAGGATACTGGGGTATAGATACTCAATTAAGAGATGGGTGCAGAGAGCCTGGTGACTAATTATGGAGGCATACACTAAAACACTGGTCTTTGACATTGAACGGAAGTGATTGAGGCCTATTATGAATGTAGTATTGTTAGAAAGTATTAATTAATTGAGTACAGTGGAGAGTAAAGTGGCCCAGAAAATAAGAGATATAGAATTACTTGACTTCAAAGCTCCGCAAGAAGTCATTTCAGTGTAGTCCAGCCTGAGGCTTTAGGCAGATCAGAAGCTCAGAGTTTCCCTGCAGAATTTTACCCTTTTGTATTTTATTTAGATTTCTGCCTTTGCTAAATTTAAGGAACGGATCCTATCCTTTCTTTTTCTCCCACCCTTCCTTCCTTCCTTCCGTTCTTTCTTTCTTCCTTCCTTCCTTTCTTTCTTTCTTTCTTTCTTTCTTTCTTTCTTTCCTTCCTTCCTTCCTTCCTTCCTTCCTTCCTTCCTTCCTTCCTTCCTTCCTTCCTTCCTTCCTTCCTTTCTTATCTTTTCTAACTAGTCTTGGATGAGACCAAGTATCTCCAGGCTTTAAAAGTTCCCCAGGTTCTTCTCAGGTCCAGTGAGGGTTGCATAACACTGTTTTAACATCTCTCTATTCAGTATCAGTATTCTCCGTACTCAATATTTGGTTGGATTTGAGACAGCAGGCTGATAAAAGACAACTAGAAACTTAAGATCCTTGGCCGGTTCTTAAATGGCAGGTATTATGCTGTCTACTGAAAGGAGATGCCAGGTAAGCAGGTGCCAAAGTCTTCTACGTAAGTTTAACATTCTTTCTATTACACCTCAAAAGGCCTGAGAATCTGTAGGTTAGATCAAGATATGCCCTCCCAACACACAAATAAGGTAATTAATTGAAAAAAATTACTTCTACTTTATTTCCCAGATTTCTGCAAATTGATGATTTGGATTTTGGCTTCAAGAGGTCATGTTGATCTATTTGCTCTGACAGTAATAAGCTGACAAACCTTCCAGAGATGACTCCTTAATATGATCCAAATGCTCCTTGCTCTTGCAACATTCAGTTTTTGCATGACCTGTGTTCTTACAGGTTTTACCAGGATTCCCCAAATCCATCTTTGATCTGACAGATCCAGACTGCTGCCATTATTTAACTAAGAAATATTGCCAACCCCTGTTAGGTGAGGCTGTCCAAGGTCATGAGTTCCTTTTGGGCTGCCTTACCATTTTGGTCTGTGTAGTGTAGGTGTGTCAGGGTGGGGATGGGGCCTGGCCAGTTATCTGAATATTTTCTATTGCTGCAATTTTCTTACTATTTCATAAAAGTGAGTGTTTCCAAAAGGCAGGACAGAATTAGGAATTTTATGAAATATTTTAAATTTCAGAATGGAAGTCTTCTTAGAATGTCCAAGCCTATTGCTTACCTTTAATCTTTTCATATTTTTCTTACATCTTCAGGAATTATATTTATTAAACATGGTAAATCTGCATAGTAGGCAACTTCATTACAAACAGTTATTTACCTAAAATAAATTATCTTATTTTATATTTGTAGTTTGGTGATGGGAGTTCACTGCTCTAGTTCAAACAACTTATTTAGTACTGCAGACAAACACATAATCTACAGAGAAGTGTTCAAGGTTGTAGGGTTGATACATGTACAGTTCACAGTGGGGATTCAAGGGAAGCATGGGTTAGTATTTGTGGGAGTGTCAGGACCAGATTAATGACAGAGATAACAATTGACATAATTGTTAAACTGTCAGGTGTCAATAAGCAAAGAAAGAAGGACATTCTAGAAAAGCATAGACCAGAAAAATGCATCACGCAAGATCAAAGTGTTTCCTGATGGTTGTGAGCATTGTGTTAAAGAAGGAGAGGCAGAGTGACACAAGAGGTAAGTTAAGAAGATGTGCTGTAAAGGAAGTAAATGACATGTAAGCCCTTTGTAGCGGATGCTGTCAGAGCCTCACTAATACCCTTTGTACCTTAACCAGCTTACTCTGTTCCAGTGGTGACTTCAAGCTGTGCCTGATCTGTAGAAGGTGACTTTGGCCACTCCTGGCAGGCCAGAAGTGGCAACAGAAGTGAAATCTCCATCTCAGGAGCAGATTGAATGAAGTTGATATGTATGCACCCCAGCAAACTCCCCCCCTACAGCGGAATGACTCTGAAACATCGGTTTTGCAGCATTTCCCTATTACAGCAAGATTACGCTTCAGTCACCCTGCCTTCCTGCCTCTCTATCGGTTCCTCATTTCCTTACTTATTCTTTGTACTCCCAAATAAACTATCAGCACATCAACCTTTATGTCACGTTCTGCTTCTGGAGAAATTACAACTAACACAACATGATAAGGAATACTAGGAAGGGGTTCAGATGTTTTAGATATAAAAGAAAATTTGAGAGATCACAGTGACAGGAATGAGAAAAATGGAGTGGAGGTGAGAGAGAGTAGAGGCAGCAAGACCAGTGAGGAGAGAATTTGCTAGAGTCTGAGGAAAGATGGTAAAGACTGAACTAAGGCACCATGGGGTTGGAAGGTGGAAGGTGGAGATAGATGTGGAGGTGCTGCAGAGATGTGATGGCAGTAGATGGACAGGCAGAATGAGGTCTTAGGGAACACTGGGAGGGAATGGTCAAAGCAATAACAGACCAGGATAAGGGGTGAGCCCTTCTAGGAGGGAAGGAGCAATCAACTGTGCCAAAAGCTGCAGAGCTGATATCACAGTCGATGATTCTATTGACTTGAGGATTTTGAATCATAATAACCTTCTGCAAATCACTTTCCATCCAAAGTGATGGGGTCAGAACTCCGACTGGAGCAGAATAAAAAAATAAATGATATGACCAAATGATTATAAACTAGTTTTTGGAAGAACTTGGCTGTGAGAGAAAGGAGAAAGAGAGTGACGGTTAATGGAAAGAGGCTTAGGGTCATAGAGGGTGTTTATAAAGACAGCGTGGCTTGAGCTGCTGTACAGACTACAGTGATAGAATAAGTACAAGTGAAAAGGCCGAAAATACATCAGTTAGTAATATAAGGTCTCTGTTCCAGAAGAGATGGTGGGGCAGCGATGAAAGCATGAACACAGCAAGGAGTTGAACCTCACACTGTCAAGTTAAAGAGCAATTGTTCATATGCCAGATACATTAAAGAACGAAGGAAGTCAGGAACTGGTCTAAGAGGAATGTCATGTTCAAAATTCCTTCTTCCAATCATTTGGATAGGCATTCCTGAGGATACACATTCATGAAGAAAGGCAGAGTGCTTTTGCAGATGGAACCCGGGTCTTCAGCTGTGCATCAAACAGAAGGGGAATATAACAAGGACTAGTAGTGGAGAACAAAAAGAGCCAATTTAGGAAATGGGACTGTAAAGTTTATGATGCTAATGATTTTTAAACATTTTTGGAAGCAATAGAAAGAAGAATGCAAATAAAATGAGTTTACTTTCTAAAATGCTTTTTTTTGTTGTTTCGTAATTTCCGTTTGCTAATGTCATCTAAATTGTGTTGTCTAAATTTTCTATATTTTGAAAATATGAAGACTACATCATGTATATAGGTACTATTCATCACTCCAGCAGCAAAATGTCAATGGACGCTCTAGATTTTAATAAAGCAGGTTGTTACTTTACACTAACTTACTGACTTCTCTACCTTCTACCTAAGTTGTGTACACTCATCACCCTAATGTCCACTCCTGCAAAAACAAACAAACAAACAAACAAAACCAGAGCTCTCAATATTAATCCTGAATATAGCTCTGCCTGACCTCTGTCTTCTACGTACAGGCTTAATTGATTTTAGTTTTTCAGATCTTCTTTTTGGTGTCTGATTTCCTAAAGTTCAAGAGACAGCTCTCTGGGGCCTGTGAAATAAGACGATGAACATGCAGATATCAAGGAAATGGTTTTCTTACACCAATAGCTCCATTTAGATTCCAGCATTTCCTTATTCTTGTCTGACAGTAGAGCTTCCTAAGGTACAATATGTGCTGAATTCAAACATGTTCTTTCTTACTGATGGGGGTGGTTAGGGTTAACTTCTTTAGCCTGCTTTAAGTAAGACAAGATTTAATTAAGGTAATCTCCAGATTCCAGTAGTTTGACATTTCAACTGTGTATCCTATAGAAAAACAGCATGCAGATATATGTAAGTTACACCAATGGAAAATATTAAAACTTTTTTTTTTAGCTTTCAAAGAAAGCTTGCTTTTATTTCTGGGCAGTGACACTTTCTATTTTAGCCATTGCTTCCCCACCAGTCTAAGAAAAGTAAAGCATTTCATCTCTTATAACTGAGGTTTCTAATAAGAGTATGTTACTTTTCTGCATTATAAAACAGGAAGCACAGTTGACTAGTTGACTGGTTGACTGACTTCCTTCTTTTACTGGCTAAAGTTTGGGCTTCATAAAATGGGCCGAATCTTTATGGTCCAAGTAAAATTGAAGGTGAAGAGATTAACCACTTAATTCAAGCCATGTTAACCATTAATCCAAGTGATTTTAACATTAGGCATTTTCACACGCTTATTGATGAAGACAAATCTACACGGTAGGATATTGGTGATGAGCCAGTGTCAAATTGGGTCATGAAGTGGACAGTTCAATTGCCAGCATAGATTACTGGCAATCATACTGGATGACTTATATTAGCATTGTCAAATGGCTAATCTAGCAATTTTCAAATATTTCCAACTTGCAATACTATAATTTTGCTGATTTTATGACATTCTCTGTCACTTCTATATTCTATATGGTACTTTTGCATTATGATAACTGACTTCATACTTTTAAGTGAATTTAGCTAAGCAACTACATGCCATTTTACATGTAGATTTTCTTTTTCATTGACTTACCTAAAAACCTTCCAATTTGCCTTAAAGGCAGTTTGGAAACCATTGCATTAGAATTAGAGAACGGTGAGGAGTCCTAGGGACCATCTGGTCCTCATCCTTATTTTAGAGATAAGGAAACAAGCCAAACGAGGTGACGTGAACTGCCTAAAATCAAACATCTAGTTACTGGTCGTGGTAAACCAGTCACAAAATGGTTGTAATTGTCCTTGCCACTGTGTCTATGTCCATTGCAATGTGACTTTGCAGCTTCTTCCATTAAAAGGAGGCATCTGTCTCCACACACCTTGATTCTGGGCTTGCATTTTGACTTCCTTCGGCAGATAGAATGTAGAAGAAATACGGTGCCAGTTCTGCTACAATAGATAACTAATACATAATTTAGTTTATGTATTTTTTTTAACTCTCCGAAGATTCTAGAAAATCAGTGGTACTCAGATTTTTTTTGCTCAACTCTCGCTTCCAGCTACTTGGCAAATTTTCAGGTATTTGCTTTCTTTGCTTGTGTATTGTGTAATTTCTTTTACATCGTCTAGCTCATGAAGCTTTGTAAGTGTGTTCTTTCTTTTTTTGAGTTTTTAGGAAACTCTTCAGCTGAAGTGAAATTTTTGACTATGCTCTGGGTATTACTTTGTGGCACAAAATGTTAATCCACTTAACAGCCTTCAGCACATGTATTTTTTTGGCAGGCAGGTGATGCTGTCAGCTATGTCCATACCAGCTGGCAAATTGCAGCAAGCAAGCAACTCTTGGAATGAGCGGAAAAAAATATCTTTAACCAAGGGGGAGGTCAACTAGCTGTGTCTGATAAATTTCAGTTCTTTGTTACCTGAAGCTATGCATATTAGCATAAGACATTATCATATGTGAGGCCTGAACAGAATCATATTATCTGAAATCCTCTATTTTGGATGGTTTATTCGTTCTTATCTGGGGGGAGGGGTGGTATGATGTAATAAAATTAGCACTGAATTTCATGATTAGTATCCTGTGTCTATATCCTGGATCATCTACCTATTAGCTGTGTCACTTTGGGAAAGTCACTGCATGTCTCTTAAATCTAACTTTAGTTTCCAATGTGCTTAGTTTTTGTGTTTGTTTGTTTGAGAAAAAGGCGAAGCAAGTAAAGCATTTTGTAGGCTGTGAACCACAAGCTCTCATCTCTATTCCCCTGAGCTCTACACATTTTCCTTTGCATATTGGACATTCCCTACTTGGATGTGCCACATCTAAAATCTATCTTAACCTACACAGCTCAAGCTTTTATTTTCTCTTGACTTCTGTAATCCTGTAAATTGCTTCTCACATTGTGCCATTTTCCAGACTTCAAATCTCCAAATAAGTTTTTGATGTGCCTATTGCTTGTAAGGCATCTATTTATTTATTTATTTGTCCAGGAAATGCCTATTAATTACCTGTTCTTTTTTTTGCTGTGGCACCACCTCCTTCTTTGAGTCCCTTCCCTGTGTTTCAAACCAGACTTGGCTCCATCTTCCCTCTCTATTTCAAACTCTGCTCTTCTGGGTTTGCATTCATCTTGGATCTCTTAGCCCAGAACTTGACCAGATTTGATCCCTTCTTTCTTAAGTCTTTTCTCCAGCCACAGTGTCCCTTGTCTCTGGTAAGAACACCTTGTTTTTAGTCTGTGCGTTTTAGGACCTGTCCCCTACCTCTCAATTGCCAGCTTTACCACTAATCCAGTGGTAAAGTTCCCACTTTAGTTCCCACTCCCATCACCTTGATGGAAGAAGAGACTCAGGCACTGTAAGTGACACTGAGGGTGTTATCAGATTGTTATAAACATTTCCTCAATTATAAAATGAGAGGGATACTGACTACCTCACTAGGCCACTGTGAAATGAGGTCACACATATGACTGGCAGAGAGGAAGCACTCACAACCTTTCCAACAATAGTTCTTCCCAATGACCTGGATAGGATTGTGTAACACTATACAGAACACTCCTCATCTGACAAATCAAAATAAAAGCAGCTTAGAATCAAGTTAGGGAGATGAGAACAAAATGTTGAATGCAAGTTGTGTATATAGATAAAATATGAATTGTGGTGCAGGTGGATGAGTACAAAGTGGAAAGGCAAGAAGTGTGAAATAAGGTTACTCAAGGAAGACAAGCAGGCAGTGACTTGTAAAGAAACTAATAGATGTGAACTGGTGAAAAGACAGCAGGACATTGTAGGTGTGGAGACTGCCATAGATAAATGCTCAAGAATAAAACAGTGTGACACTGTGGTGCTAGCCTGATAAAATGAGGGATGGGCTTGAGGTTAAAGATTGTGTTCAGAGTGGTAGGAGGGTACCAGTCACAGCAGACTCAAATTCTTGTCCTAGTAATGGAGAGATATATATGTGCTGACATTTCTAGGAATATCCAAATTTTATTTGCAATAGAAGCTGTGCATTCTGCAGCGTCATTCTTAAAGTGT